CCTGGAGTGGCCTAGCCAGTCTCCAGACCTGAACCCAATAGAAAATCTTTGGAGGGAGCTGAAAGTCCGTATTGCCCAGCGACAGCCCCGGAACCTGAAGGATCTGGAGAAGGTCTGTATGGAGGAGTGGGCCAAAATCCCTGCTGCTTTTTTTTAAGTGTGTGCAAACCTGGTCAAGACCTACAGGAAACATATGATCTCTGTAATTGCAAACAAAGGTTTCTGTACCAAATATTAAGTTCTGCTTTTCTGATGTATCAAATATTTATGTCATGCAATAAAATGCAAATTAATTACTTAAAAATCATACAATGTGATTTTCTGGATTATTTTTTTAGATTCCGTCTCTCACAGTTGAAGTGTACCTATGATAGAAATTACAGACCTCTACATGCTTTGTAAGTAGGAAAACCTGCAAAATCGGCAGTGTATCGAATACTTGTTCTCCCCACTGTATCTTTATGTTAGAAAACTAGCCATGTACATATCTTTATGTTAGAAAACTAGCCATGTACATATCTTTATGTTAGAAAACTAGCCATGTACATATCATTATGTTAGAAAACTAGCCATGTACATATCTTTATGTTAGAAAACTAGCCATGTACATATCTTTATGTTAGAAAACTAGCCATGTACATATTGTCTCATTCTTTTCCATTGTTTGAAAAGTGCACGCTCTCTCTCACACACACACACACACACACACACACACACACACACTCACCGTTTAGCATCACAAAATGATAGATTTATGAGTTTATTATTATGACCAGTAGAACACACACAAACACACTTCATCCTGACAACACACTAACACTGTTCAATGGAACCAATATCTAGAAACGGATGGACTAGACAGAGATGATGTAATAAAGAGACCAGGAAGCAGTAGAGTTCACCCTGTGAGGACATCTGAGCAGTTTCTGTCAATAATAATTATATTACAAAACCATATGGGCTGCTGGGCACCCAGCCATCCTAGGTAAGGATCTGAATTTATCAATCAATGAGTCAAATACTGTCATGAAGGTACAGAGAGTGTGGTATTTGGTTATTTTACTCTTACAGAACAGCACTTAAAGCCTCATTACAGAAAAACATCCTCATTTACATACCCCCTTTCTCTCTTCTGTCTCCACCACCAACATCACTCTTCAAAACACAGTTTACAAAAAACAAGACATTTAATACTGAATAGTATACAGATACTTTTTACAACTTCAGTCAGAACACTATGGCCGTCATTTTCCCCACAAACAATGAAAAGAACCGTAACATTGATAGATGGGATGGTATGGCACTTTATCCAAGGCCAGGTCTGAATGCCGCAAGTAGCAATTGTGTATGTATTATGTGTTTTGTGCTGTTAGCTTATTTAACCTCCAGTCAAATAATCGTCTCCATTCTGTCATGGACATGGTTAAAGAAGCTACAACAAATCCTAAATCACGATGCAGTATAAACTTTGATAATAATTTGGTGGGTGATTATATTTGTCCTATTTGTGTATTAGAAAAGTTTTTTTGTTGCATATCCCAACTCTCCCTGAGACACCCTCGGAGAGTGGGGTCACGGCCAGGGTCTGCCAATATCTACGTCGACCCTGGAGCAATTTGGATTAATTACCTTGCTCAAGGGCACATAAACAGATTTTGCACCTTGTCGGCTCAGGATTCAAACTAGCAACCTTTCAGTTACTGGCCCAACGCTCAAACCATCTCTGTAGTCTTTGTCAGAAACATCTGAAACATTTATTCAAATGAATAAAAAAGTTAACATATTAATCAAGCCCACATGCTAGCGTATGCAGATACCCTCGTATATTAGTTCACACAACATCCTCCATTTCAACTCTGCATTGATAAAGATTTTAGAAATTGCTGACTAACTTAGAGATCAAAATGAAGAAAAACACTTCTGTGTGTAGCAGGTCTTTGTCTGTCTCTCTGTCTCTCTGTCTGTCTGTCTGACTGTTCGTCCGCCCGTTTGTCCGTCTGTCTGCCTGTGTTGTCATGGTAGCGTCAGTTCGTCTGATGTTCTGATCACTCGGCGGCGTCTCCCAATGCAGTCTGGAAACCTTCAAACATGTCACACAGCCGACCAGCAGATCACACCGGTGTGAGACACACATATACACACGCACACACACGCGCACACAAACATGCACGTACACACACACACGTGTGCACACACACACCAGATTATGCCCCTAGCCCCACGTCTCTGTCTCTGAGCTGAGTCTGCAGTCTGGACTCCTACTCTAAATATCTCACCAGCCGTCTATGTCAAAACCAACACTCACACACACACGCACAAACGCACACACACGCACGCACACACATGTGCACAAATGTTTTACATTTTAGTCATTTAGCAGACACACACACACACACACACTCTATCTAGACAAGTCTCTATATGTTTGATCCCCCCCTCTCCCCTTCCCTCTTCTCCCCTCTCCCCACGTTCCTCTCCTCTCTCCTCTCTACCTTGCACTGACTGTCTGATAATATATCTCACCTCTTGTTAACCCCCAGAAATGTACAAACATTCATCCATACAAAAATGTACATTTTATACACACCATAATATGGTGCCAGTCTAAAGCGTTGTTCACATTGGCAGTTTGAAGTGACTCAAATCCCATTTTTTTGCATATCCGATTTCAATCTGTTATTTTTCCTGCAGTCTGAACAGACAAAAAGCACATTGAATCGGATATTTCAAGCCACATTTCAAAGAACCTTTGTAGGTGGTTTGAAGTCAGATACAAATCTGTCACCATGCGACGTGTCTGAACAGTCAAATCTGATTTATTTGCCCTCTAGTTTTTAGACTGTTATTTGGCATATCTTGTTGCTTGCTAGCTATTCTGTTGACAGTTTGACAAGAACAACTTCACATTCATAATCTCCAGCACCACCTCAACATCAACATACTGTATGTGAAAATGGCGTGTTTCTTGGTTTTGTAGAAAAAAAGATAGAGAAGATAAGTGTTTCCAATGACATCATCAACCAATGCCTACTCATCATTGTAACCATAATTGGTTAAAATCACACGATGCACACCGATGATGTCATTGGAAACACTTATCTTCTGCTATCTTTTTTACTACAAAACATAGAAATGCGCAATTTTCGTATATGTTAATGTTGGGGTGGTGCTGGAGATGAATATGAGGGTTGATTTTTTACAAACAAATTAGTGAATGTGCTAGAAAAGCTAAACAGCTACCTATCTAGCTAGTTGACTGCTGTGGCTGGCCAAAAATGACTCAGTTTGAGGCTTTACAAGTGTTTTAACACTATGTCTTCAAAGCAACTGGGAAACGTCCATGGCAGGCATTGTTGTCACACTAGCTTGCTACATAACTTCTGAGCGATAAGAAGCACGAGCACCACCACCAATCAGCCTACACCACTGCTCACTCACCGGTCGTAACTGTGACAACTAGCGTAGCCATGTCAGCAAATGACTGCTGTCTGAACACACACAAATCCGATATGGTCACTTGTAACTTGCTGTTTCGACAGCCAGTATTCCAAAACGGATTTGAAAAACATAACTGATTTGAGCATTAAGGCCTGCAGTGTGAACAAGGCTTTAGTGTTCCCTTACATACAACAATGGTTAATTCTATGGTTTATTATATGGTTTATTCTATGAATTATTAAACTATATCTGTAATATCTATTCTATTATTTTCTACTTCCTGTCTTTAGCCTAGGTTGAAGATACCCAGGTTAGGAAAATGAAATAATCAGATTTATGCCGCGTTTAAATGGTAAGAGGTAGACGGTAGATGGCATTGTTTTCAATGAGAGCACGACAGTAAATGCCGTTGAGGCTGGCAGTGAATGCTGTCAGCCATCATGGTAGACGGGGCTTGCCGCCAAAGTTAAAATCTTTAAACTTTTGCAGTCTGCCGTAGCGTTGTTTTCTACCGGATGTTGATTTGCACTGATTGTTTACTGAAATCACCATAGCAACTCATACCGTTGTTTTTGCCGTCACCCTCTTTCTTGCTTTCTTGTCCCGCTATGCCGACAGGTATGACGGTTTTTGCGTCCCTTGTCTAAACGCAGCATTACTGGACCAGAGCCGTTGATAACTAGCATCGCTGGTCCCTTTGTTTAAAATTCTTCCACATTTATGCAAAGAGTTATGGGATATTAGAATCCTCTTGTCTTAACCTTGGTTATCTTCAACCAAGTCTTTAGGTGGTGTCAGAGGGGGTCTGGATGTTGGAACAGCTACTTGGTCATATTCATTAGGGCACAGTGTAAGAAGAACGTTTTGTAATGGAAAACGAAAACTAGCGTTTCTTATAGGACAGGTTCAGGTAATCCTTCCCTGTTTCAGTCAATTTTTGTTGATTTGGTGCCTAATGAATAGGACCCTGAATGCATCCATTCAAATCAGGGTGCCAACTCTGACAGCAATTTCAAATGCTGATGTCATGGTGAGAAACAAGGTATCCTTACAATCATGCACAAGGTTACACAACTACATAGTAACATAGAGCCCTAATAATACAACATAACATGGTTAAATTGTCTCACACAAGAACATTGAAATCAACATAACATCAAAGACAGTAATAACATGGTAATAACACAGTAACAACATGGTAATTACACAATAATAACAGTAATAAACAGGCATGATTCTGAACCACAACGTCCCAGAGCTCTGGAGGAGGAGTCCCTATTTGTTCGTCACCAGAGTTGAAAACTCCTGCTAGCGTTAGCATAGCATAGCCACTCATCTCATTCCCTCGTCCCTCTAACCGACCCTAACAACCAACCCTCAAACCTTCCTCAGCCTCAACCATCACAGTCAAATACCCTCACCCGTCAACTCATTCTTCTGTGTCTGCAGGTGTAGTGTGTAGCTGTTCAACTCACACCCCCCAAATACCCTAACCCACATCACCCCACCCTCTTCACCCCTCCCTCCACTCTCTCTGCAGCCCCACTGTCTCTCTCTCTCTCTTAGACCTTCTGTTGCATCTCTATCTGTTGTCCATGTCTGCTGTGACTCTGACCCTTCCCGTTCATCTCGTACATCGAGCTCTTCTGCTGTTTCCGCCTGTAACACCACACCCCGACGGCGGCTGCCAGGGCAACCGTGCACACAGCAATGACAATGGCTGCCACCGTGGGCCCCCTGCCAGAGGAGGGAGGAGGGGGAGGAGGGCATTCCTCCTCATCTCCGGTACACCCTGTCTCCCCTGTCTCACCTTCCCTCTCCCCCTCCTCACCCTCCCTCTCCCCGCTGTGTCGAGTCAGGTTTAGCTCGGCTGCACGTTCCTCCTCGTCGATGACATCATCAGTCCACGCCGTGGGGGCAGGGCCGTGCTCCATGAAGGGGTGCACATGATCCGTGGTTTCCCAGGAGTCTGTGTGAGAAGGCCTGGCTGCGTTTCCGGGGGCGACGTCGTCCAGTGATGATGTCAGAGAGGGCGTGGTGTAGTCGGCTGAATGGGAATCTGAGGGTGTGGCCTCAGGGGAGAGGGGTGAGTTGGGTGAGGCTGTAGGGCTGAGTCCTCCCACCCAACCCTGGTCCTGATCCTGCTCTACAGGGTCCGCCTCCTGCGTGGGGGACAGGGGGACCTGGGGGACGCCCGTGAATGGGATGGGACGACTCATCTCCACCTCATTGGGCCGGTCCGTCACCCCGACAACCACAAGACCCTCCTCTTCCTCTTCTCGCACCTCAGGCTCCACCCCTTCCTCTGTGGAGCCACCTCCCACTTTATCAGTGTCGGTCTCCTCCTGACTGACAGGGTAGCCGTCCAACCAGGTCTCGTCTGTGCTGGCTGTGGGTTCTCCTCCAGCCGCCTCCTGGGTTATGTTCTGAGGCTCGCCTGTTGTCATGCCAATGGGAGGGACTACATGGCCATCTTCATGGTCGTCGTGGTCATGGTCATCATGGCCATGGTCATCCCGATCGTCATGGTCGTAACGGTTAGGGTCATTACGGTCATCTTCATGTTCACTCTGGTCTTCATGGTCATCAAGGTGATCATGGTCATGGACATGGTCTTGGTCGTCATGGTCATCGTGGTGATCGCTAGGATCTACGTGGTCATGATCATCATCGTCATGGTGATCAGTTACATCATCGTGGTCATGGTCTTCATGGTCATCATGTTCACCGTGGCTGTGATAGTGAATGCGGTCATCCTCCTCGTGTTCACCCATGTTGTAATGCTCATCGTGTCCGTCATCATACCGACCCCCCTTCTCATGGTCATCCTCCTTGTGTTCTCCTTGGTCCTCACGGTGGGCCTCTTCACTGTAGCTTTCATGGTCGTCATGTTCATGGCCATCATGGGCGTCATGATCATCGTGGTCAAGGTGTTCAACGATATGGTCTTCACCGTCAAAAACTTGTTCAGAACTTTCATCGTGGTCAGGATCTGGTTGATCATCATGATCATATTCACGGTCAATATGTTCATGGTCAACATCATCTTCGTGGTCATCATGGTCATTGTGGTCAATTGGTTGTTGGAAGTGACCCTCATGGCTGTCATAATCCTTTGTCTCCTCTGGTTGGCTGTTGTCTTCCTTGCTCTCCTCTGATTTGCTGCCGGAGGCCCTGACACGATTGTCTCCCTCAAGGGGTGTGTCCTGTGTGACTGGCGGGTGGGTGGGTTCCACATGTCCCGCCTCCTGGAAGGCCTCTGAGGGGAACCAGAACAGGTGCTTCTGGGAAAGCAGGGAGACGGGCGCCTCAGTTGCCTCCGACATGCCCATCTCCTCCTCCTGCCCCTCCTCCTGTTTCTCCTCGTCGACGGGATGGTCTGTTGAGTCTTCCAGCTCCTCTCCTCCAGTTACCAGTCCTTCCCCCACCTCCTCCTCCTGCTGCTCCTCCTCTCCCACAGACAGCTCCTCTCCTCCCTGCGCTTCCTTCTTTCCTCCTGTCTCCTCCTCCTGCTCCTCTACTCCTGTCACGCTGAAGCTGGCCTCCTGCTGCTCCTGATCCCTGTGCTCCTCTTCTCCTGTGTTCTCCTCCTCATTTACATATGCTGTCTCCTCTTGCACCTCCTCCTCTACCGGTTCCTCCTCTGTGTCCTCCTCCTCAGTAGGGGTGTCGTAGGAGAGGTGGTGATCGTCATCAGTGAACTTATCTTCATAGTCAATGTTGGCCTCTGTCTTGTCTGTAGATACAGAGAGAGAAAGAGAGAGAAAGAAGGGGCGGGGGGGGGGGGAAGAATCAGCCACAAGCACTTGGTTTCTTGCACGTTAACATCCGAAGCTTCCTCCCTACGTTTGAGTTATTCACTGCGTTAGCACACTCCGCCAACCCTGATGTTCTAGCAGTGTCTGAATCCTGGCTTAGGAAGGCCACCAAAAATTCAGAAACTTCCATCCCCAACTACAACAGATTCCGTCTCGATAGAACTGCCAAAGGGGGTGGGGTTGCAATCTACTGTAGAGATAGCCTGCAGAGCTCTATCGTACTATCTAGGTCTGTGCCCAAACAGTTTGAGCTTCTACTTCTAAAAATCCACCTTTCCAGAAATAAGTCTCTCACTGTTGCCGCTTGCTACAGACCCCCCTCAGCCCCGAGCTGTGCCCTGGACACCATATGTGAACTGATTGCCCCCCATCTATCCTCAGAGTTCGTACTGCTTGGTGACCTAAACTGGGATATGCTTAACACCCCGGCCAACCTACAATCTAAACTAGATGCCCTCAATCTCACACAAATTATCAACGAACCTACCAGGTACAACCCAAAATCTGTAAACGTGAGCACCCTCATAGATATCCTCCTGACAAATTTACCCTCTAAATACACCTCCGCTGTCTTCAACCAGGATCTCAGCGATCACTGCCTTATTGCCTGCGTCCGTAATGGGTCCGCGGTCAAATGACCACCCCTCATCACTGTCAAACGCTCCCTAAAACACTTTAGCGAGCAGGCCTTTCTAATTGACCTGGCCCGGGTATCCTGGATGGATATTGACCTCATTCCGTCAGTAGAGGATGCCTGGTTGTTCTTTAAAAGTGCTTTCCTCTCAATCTTAAATAAGCATGCCCCAGTCAAGAAATTCAGAACTAAGAACAGATATAGCCCCTGGTTCTCCTCAGACTTGACTGCCCTTGACCAGCACAAAAACATCCTGTGGTGTACTGCATTAGCATCGAACAGCCCCCGCGATATGTAACTTTTCAGGGAAGTCAGGAACCAATATACACAATCAGTTAGAAAAGCAAAGGCTAGCTTTTTCAAACAGAAATTTGCATCCTGTAGCACTAACTCCAAAAAGTTTTGGGACACTGTAAGGTCCATGGAGAATAAGAGCACCTCCTCCCAACTGCCCACTGCACTGAGGCTAGGAAACACTGTCACCACCGATAAATCTACAATAATCGAGAATTTCAACAAGCATTTTGCTACGGCTGGCCATGCTTTCCACCTGGCTACCACTACCCCGGCCACCAACTCTGCACCCTCCGCTGCAACTTGCCCATGCCCCCCCCGCTTCTCCTTCACACAAATTCAGACAGCTGATGTTCTGAAAGAGCTGCAAAATCTGGACCCCTACAAATCAGCTGGGCTAGACAATCTGGACCCTTTCTTTCTAAAATTAGCCGCCGAAATTGTCGCAACCCCTATTACTAGCCTGTTCAACCTCTCTTTCGTAACGTCTGAGATCCCCAGAGATTGGAAAGCTGCTGCGGTCATCCCCCTCTTCAAAGGGGGTGACACTCTAGATCCAAACTGTTACAGACCTATATCCATCTTGCCCTGCCTTTCGAAAGTTTTTGAAAGCCAAGTTAACAAACAGATCACCGATCATTTCGAATCCCACCGTACCTTCTCCGCTATGCAATCCGGTTTCCGAGCTGGTCATGGGTGCACCTCAGCCACGCTCAAGGTCCTAAACGATATTATAACCGCGATCGATAAAAGACAGTACTGCGCAGCCGTCTTCATCGACCTGGCCAAGGCTTTCGACTCTGTCAACCACTGCATTCTTATTGGCAGAATAAATAGCCTTGGTTTCTCAAATGACTGCCTCGCCTGGTTCACCAACTACTTCTCAGATAGAGTTCAATGTGTCAAATCGGAGGGCCTGTTGTCTGGACCTTTGGCAGTCTATATGGGGGTGCCACAGGGTTCAATTATCGGGCCGACTCTATTCTCTGTGTATATCAATGATGTTGCTCTTGCTGCTGGTGACGCTCGGATCCACCTCTATGCGGACGACACCATTTTGTATACATCTGGCCCTTCATTGGACACTGTGTTAACAAACCTCCAAACGAGCTTCAACGCCATACAACACTCCTTCCGTAGCCTCCAACTGCTCTTAAACACTAGTAAAACTAAATGCATGCTTTTCAATCGAACGCTGCTTGCACCCGCCCACCCGACTAGAATCACTACTCTCGGCGGGTCTGACCTTGAGTATGTGGACAACTACAAATACCTAGGTGTCTGGTTAGACTGTAAACTCTCCTTCCAGACTCACATTAAGCATCACCAATCAAAAGTTAGATCTAGAATCAGCTTCCTATTTCGCAACAAAGCCTCCTTCACTCATGCTGCCAAACATGCCCTCGTAAAACTGACTATCCTACCAATCCTTGACTTCGGCGATGTCATTTACAAAATAGCCTCCAACACTCTACTCAGCAAATTGGATGTAGTCTATCACAGTGCCATCCGTTTTGTCTCCAAAGCCCCATATACTACCCACCATTATGACCTGTACGCTCTTGTTGGCTGGCCCTCACTACATATTTGTCGCCAAACCCACTGGCTCCAGGTCATATATAAATCACTGCTAGGCAAATCCCTGTCTTATCTTAGCTCACTGGTCACCATAGCCACACCCACCCATAGTATGCGCTCCAGCAGGTATATCTCACTGGTCATCCCCAAAGCCAACACCTCCTTTGGCTGCCATTCCTTCCAGTTCTCTGCTGCCAATGACTGGCACGAACTGCAAAAATCTCTGAAGCTGGAGACTCTTATCTCCCTCCCTGCACCTGTACACAGCCCATCTGTAATTAGCCCATCCAACTACCTCATCCCCATATTGTTATATATTTTGCTAATTTGCACCCCAGTATCTCTATTTGCACATCACATCATATTCCAGTGTTAATACGAAATTGTAACTATTTTGCACTATGGCCTATTTATTGCCTTACCTCCATAATTTACTAAATTCGCACACACTGTATATATATTTTCTGTTGTATTTCTGACTTTATGTTTTGTTTACCCCATATGTAAATCTGTGTTGTTGTTTTTATCGCACTGCTTTGCTTTATCTTGGCCAGGTCGCAGTTGTAAATGAGAACGTGTTCTCAACTGGCTTACCTGGTTAAATAAAGGTGAAAAAAATAAAATTTAAATAAAATTTAAATAAAAAGCACACACATACCCAGCATGCAGCGTGCACACACACAGTATAGAGCAGGGGTGTCAAACGTCCGGCCCGCGAGATGATTTTAATCCGGCCCGCGAGATGATTTTGTAAAGTATAAAAATGAGCTGCAATTTTTCAATAAAATAAACTGCTGTTCCAATTGTGTCCACTGAATGGCGCAATAGCAATTGTGTTAAGCAAGCAAGCTGTTTATACCGGGGCAGAGCAAATAGGTCAAGCAAGTGCAGCCAGTCCGGATGAGCTACTTTGTTTTGCCCGCAATATTTATTACGGCTTCTACTTTTAACATTATGTGCTTTGGCACCCTCATTGCCCCAATATGTCTCTGTCAAAAAAGAGAAAAGTGGACGCAGAGTGCAGAGTGTTCCAAGAAAAATTGTCATCCTTCTATTTATTCACGGAATTGAATGGAAAAGCTGTATGTTTGGTGTGTTCACAGCATGTTGCAGTGCTGAAAGAATATAACCTTCGTCGCCACTATGTGAGTCTTCATGCCGACAAATATGACAACTTTCAAGGACAGCGGAGAAGAGAGAAGGTGAATGAACTGTTGGTGGGTCTGAAGAAACAGCAGTCTGTGTTTACTCACAGCCGAGACATCAGTGACGCTGCAGTGAAAGCTAGCTACCTCATTGCTAATGAAATCGCAGTGGCTTCAAAACCATTTAGTGAGGGTGAATTTGTAAAAACATGCATGATGAAGGCAGCAGAGATTGTGTGCCCTGAAAAGCACCAGGCTTTTGCAAATATCAGCCTGACAAGAAACACAGTTGCAGACAGGATTTCCGATCTTTCAGTGGATTTGGACAGCCAGTTGAAGCAAAAAGTAAAGTCATTTATGTCACGATCGTCGTATTGAATAGACCAAGGCGCAGCGTGATGAACGAACATGGTTAACTTTATTATCTTTAGTGATAATAGAAACAACAATCAACAAAACAACAAACGACTCGTAACGTCCTCGGTAACAATGACCAAACCAACTGGAACAAGAACCCACAAACACAAAGGGAAAACAGACAATTTAAATATGGCTCCCAATCAGAGACAACCAACGACAGCTGACACTCGTTGCCTCTGATTGGGAGTCACTCTAGCCAACATAGAAATAAACACAACAGAATGAACACACCCTGGCTCAACATATAGAGTCCCAGAGCCAGGGTGTGACAATTTATTGCGTTTTCGGTTGCAATTGATGAAAGCACGGACATTACAGATGTTGCACAACTGGCCATTTTCATCCGCGGAGTTGATGACACATTGACCGTCACCGAGGAGTTCGTGGAGTTGGTGCCAATGATAGATACAACGACAGCAGCTGATATTTTCACTGCACTCGTCGGCGCGCTGGACAGGGTCGGAGTGGACTGGTCCTGCGCTGTCAGCCTGGCTACAAATGGTGCGCCCTCAATTATCGGGAAAAAATCAGCGTTGTGACAAAGTTCAGAGAGAAAGTGCAATCTGCAAATGGAGGATGTGATTTTTGGACTTTTCACTGTATTTTGCACCAGGAGGCTTTGTGTTGCAAGTCATTAAAGATGGATAACGTCATGAATAAAACAAAGCTGCGCTCAAGGCTCACGCACAAGCACTTGAATTACATCCTGAAGTTGGCTGCCACTCAGGATGTGACGCCTGATATTGATGCGCTGGTGAAAGCTAAAAGATGCCAGGTATCAGGAGTCAAATAAACTATGCAACCCCACTTAAAGTGCTGCATGAGACACCCTGATATAGTTCTGTGATCTGTGATATACTTCTGTGAATCACTGAGGCATTGTGTGTTTGTGTGTTCTTTTTCTTTAGAATTTTCAAATAAACTTCAGGTGTTTTATGATTAATAGTGATGTTGTGCTTGTACTATTTTGGACACACTGTCCTCAGGCTCCAGCTTTATGTTTTATGTTGATAGTATTAAAACAAAGAAAACAATCTGAAGTTGTTGTTTTTAAGTTATATATACCATGATTTTACCGGTCCGGCCCACTTGGGAATAGATTTTCCTCCATGTGGCCCCTGAGCTAAAATGAGTTTGACACCCCTGGTATAGAGACTCATAGTCAACGTGGACTTGGCATTCTGTCTCCCAGTGCAGACTAGCTAGCTGTCTTCCGGTCCTCTCCTCTACCCCATCCTTCTCTTATCCTCCTCCACATGCCTAGTGATGGCATCTATCACAGAGGTGTCATGGCAGCCGTTTATATCTCTCACTCACAACTGGGATGCTGTTTTATAACAGGCATAAATCAGACCCTAGGCCTAGGGCATATCTAAAATGGCGCCCTATTCCCTATGTAGTGCATTGACTTGAGCAAAAAGTATTGCACTTCACATGAAAATATAATTATAGAAAAGTATGGAACTGATGTGATTACAAATAACCAGGAAGTGGAGAGTGACCTCATCAAAGCTTCCTGTGGTCAGAAGTCACAGCTCTGAGGTGAGATGTCAGGGAAACATGAAACCAGCTGATGCACACACACACACACACATTTACCTTTTACACAGAGCTGTACCAGTCCATACCACTCTCCACAGCTGTCACACAGCAGGCTGAAGGCTGAGTGGCCGCTGGGCATCACATGACCAGGAAGACAGGAGTACAGCAGCTCGTCCCCCATCTCAAACCCTGTGTGGCCCTGGAGATGCGTGTTGGGGAATGCAGGGGGGTCTCCACATGGAACACCTGACAGGTATAACATAATTAGGTTAGGTTCGATTATATCACAATTATGTTATGACAGTTAGGTTATATACACAGTTATAAGTAATAACATACAGTGTTAGGACATGCTTTTCTATCTGTCCTTCTCAGTAGGGGAGACAGAGGCTGGTTGTCACAGATTGGTTGGCTTATAACTGGAGCCTGGATGGTCCTCAAAGTTACTTAAGTGGCATGTACAACATGGCTGATCTCTAATAAAGTGGGCACAGATTTAAATGTTTCTCGCCTATTTCCACTTCTCTCTTTGCGGTGTTACAGCTCCCACAGTAACTCTCCTGTTCCTCAGTTAAAACCCAAACATCAGTCTTGGGTGTCGTCCAACAGGGGCCCGGTCCAAAAACAACTTCTAACCCCATCCCTTCTATGTCCACTGGAATGGAGAGGTGTATGTGTAATGGAGGTGAACCAGGCTCGGTTGATGGGTAAGCTGAGGCTTTAGCTCGGTGGGCTAACACAATCTTGTTGCACACAGATGACCCAGATTCAAACCCAGTCAATCACTTAAGCAACATAGCGAAGA